AAACCATATTGTACCATTTGGTCTGCACCTCCATTGTCCAGAAGTCTTCAAAGCAGGAACCAAGCCTGCAACACTAATAAAAGAAATGCATTCCCAATCTTGCGGTAGTGGGGCTTTAACTATCGCTTTCTATAACCGTTGGTATACCAAAACGAGGTATAGTCTCCTTAGCAATCTTATACATTTTCTGTATGCATGGAATACCCGGATTACCTACTATATTTTCTAAATATAACTCAAGTACACTGAAATCGGTACAGAAGCTGTGTTCGGAATGGCATACTATCATACAACTCGTACTATATTGCAGTATGCTGTGTGTATACTGTGAGTAGTATGTGAATTTTCTGTATGCATGGAATGCCCGGATTACGTGCTACATTTGCTGAAATTTGATGTGTGCATCTGAAGACGCTGCATGGGGTACTTTTTCCCAGAACGCAACGTGCTCCATGCAGTGTTGCCTGATTGGAAATGTCCAAGTATCGTACCAGAAGTTCAAAATGATCGTATTTGGAAGAAAATGATCGTACACGAGCCAAACGTTCAGAATACAGCTATTAATCCTTTTCAGCACTCATTTTCAATACTTTATTGCTAATGTAGCGTCTGGACCAATCAAACACACAATTTTTCATTTGATTTAACAAATCAGTTATTCATTAGATTAACAAATCGTCACAGTCCCCTCACCCAATAAACTGGATGCCAGGATGTCTGCAACGACACCAGGCCCCCCCCCTGGTCCCCATGGCAACCACGAACCCTCTGCTAGACCAGATCCATTTACGACCTAATGGAATGTTGAGAATTTCCCCTCGCACTACGTTTTCCATAGGAAATCCACAGTGCACAGTAAAAATGGACTCTTCTCTGATTAATTAATAGGAAAACCTTTCTTTGAATGAACACACGTATCCTTCAGGTTATCGTGTATGTTGTCTTTGAGATTTTATACTGTTTTATGCAGGCTGGTGATGGAAACACTAATTTCTGTCATCTTACATTTATGTAACCCTACCATGTTTAGTATCTATGAATTAGTCTTCTGATGATCTAAACGAGAGTGTATATTATATGTTGATACATAGGCAATATATTAGTGTCCTGAGAATCTTTAGTAATTTCGATTCAAGTTCCATATGCAAA